TAACATATAGAAGCGGTTTGGCGCCTGCCTTTGGCCCGGGGCGCGATCCTGGAGACCCGGGATCGAATCCCACGTTGGGCTCCCGGTGCATGGAGCCTGCTTCTCCCTCTGCCTCTTCTCTCTCTCTCTCTCTCTCTCTCTCTCTCTCTCTCTCTCTCTCCGTGTGTGACTATCATAAAAAAAATTAATAAAAAAATAACATATAGAAGATTGAGCTATAATATTATAAAACAAAACAAGTAAAATTTTTAATATTTCATTTATGGAAGAAAACAGTATTATGTTTATATAAACCTAGAGATAATAGTGAAAGGTAAAAATGAACAGTTTGTTAGGTCATAGTTGTAATTACACTACATTTCAAACTCTAGAAGGCTTATAATTAGCTAATTATTTTAAAAATATGGTAAAATATTACTCCCAAACACAAAAACAAATGACTTGTGAAAAGCATCCTTAGTATATGAAATTTAAATCACTTGTAGTTCTCATAAGTACTCTCTGGTGGTATTTTGTTGTTAGCATTTCTCTCACCTTATAGATAGCATTACAACCCATGGTTTTGTCTAGATCCCATGCTCACTATTAGGATCAATAGATGCTTGGAGGAAGAAGCTGAATAACTGGCTGAAAATACATAGCTGTTCATCAAAGGAGAACAAGAAAACAGAAACCATCGAAATTAGTTAGCAATAATGCTTATTTTGTACTTTTATTATTTATAAATCTTGATCTCAAAGTATATATCATTGAAATATGACTTTTTTATATTTATTTCAATTTTAAACTCCACGGATATGATGAGAACTCTGATACTGCCATCATTTAGACTTTATACCTCACGTGCTCATTATTTTTCCTTTCCTTACTTCTTGCCTTAAGTTCACCTCAAACTATTATTCAGGAACTTTGATGCTTTGATGGCTTTTGGTGTTTGGAGACTAACATAAACATGGGGAAAATTTTGATCATTTCAGTAGATTTTGAAATATTAATTTTCATAGTTTGTCCACTAGGAAAGCAGAATCAAAGTGTTTATATAGGGAAAGATCTGAGTATGAAGTGATTATGTAGACAATTTGGATATGACAATGACACCTATTGCTTATGATGAGTATTAAATATTATTTATGATGAAAGCAATTCAAACTTGTAAATATTAGTGAATCTCTATTTTAGAAATACGAAGTCTTAATCAGATATGCAATTTTTGAAGAAACTAAGAAGTATCTTTCTTTCTCAAGAAGGTTAGAAAGAGAGAAAAAGAAGATATGCTGGCCTTATTACCTCCAGTCCCCAAAACAAAATTTCCTTTGAGACATCTAAGGGTTCATATAACAGAGCTTGAAAATGTGATCTCAAATGGAGATGGTAGAGGAGTATTATAGGAGGTGTGTGTGTGTGTGTGTGTGTGTGTGTGCATGCTCTTCTAAATCATCTTTCCCATTTTAATCTGGAAAAGAAATTTAGAATGTGTAGACTCTCTTCAAATACACTTGAAGATAAGTACCTTCTGGGAACAGCTTGATGTATTTGCACAGCCCATTTATATAGAATTTACACAAGTGGTTGGAGAATGCCAAGATATAGGTATCACCTTACTTCGTATGAAGAAGAACTTATTGCTTCAGATAGAATTCGGTGCCTTGAGGACTGGCTGAGTTTCTGATCACTGCCTCTTCACATGGCACTTTAGTTTCAAAGTTTTTTAGCAGGCATGCTCTTGCGGTTGTTAGCTAGCAAATGAGTTGAATGATTCTTCCCAGATTCAGATTCTGTGCTTCTAATGGAATACCAGACTCACAACTACGATGTTTATCTTGAAGACTTATTTTTATAATAGCTTCAGGAAGACAAATTAGATTTATATTTATAACTCAAATAAATATTTCTCCAGGAGTCTGAGAGCCCTTGTCCATGTGGGCAGTGTAACAATCACTCCACTTTTGCTGCCATTGGTTAGTGACACTGGATTCCTTTTATAATAGAGATGGTGAGGTTAAAGGAGACTCAGATCTATAGATGTATAGGATACCCCAATTTCTTTTTTTAAAGATTTTATTTATTTATTCATGAGAGACAGAGAGGCTGAGACATAGGCAAAGGGAGAAGCAGGCTCCCTGCAGGGAGCTTGATGCAGGAGGACTCAATCCCCAGACCCCAGGACCATGCACTGAGTTGAAGGCAGATGCTCAACCACTGAGCCACCCAGGCATCCCAACCCCAGTTTCATACAACAAATCAGAGACTAATTTCCTTCAACTTAACAAAGTCTACTAAACTTTATGATATTTTGTATTCCTCAGGCTTGCTCCATGAAATAATTTTATTCTCTAATCCAAACCTTTTCCTTCTAACTCCCTAGATATTGTGCTTTCCGGTGCGTTTGAGAATGTTCTTATTTCTTCTTTAAGCATACATATTTTCCTTTAATGTAGATAGTATTATGTTTTGTAGCTGGTGATGTTTCCACTTTTCACTTTAAATCATTTGTCATCCTCTACTTAGGCTAGAAATTAACCTTTTCCAAAATAATCTCTAGTTTATTAGAGGTCACTAGTCCCGAGTCTTTTTCTGTGACCTGCCCTATTCCTCCTAAACAGTAACTTCTTTTGGTATGAGCTCATGATCTGGCTCTTGCTTATGTCCTTGATCTCAATCCAGACCATTCTTCTCCCAGCCTACTACATATAGGCTCTTTGGCTGTTGTGCTTTTCTTGAATCGACCAATGTTGTTCCAACCTGAGGAATTGCAGCAGTCTGGAATGCTCTTTACTCCTGGTTTTATTTGTGACGAGCAGATTTCAATCTCATTGAGATCTCAGTTTAAATTTTACTCCCACAGATTAAGTCTCCCATAAAACGTAAACCAGAGTATCCTTTACTTATTACCGTAGTTAAGTTTTCTGTAGATTACTTATATTTATAGAGCACTAAAAATTGCTTATCTGTGTATTCTGTCTCTGATTCATTAAAGTAGCTACATGATCCGTTTTGCTCACCAATATCTCCAGCACCAAGAAAAAGTCCTAGCACATAATATTAACTCAATAATATTTGTTGAACAAACAAGTACGTGCATGCTCCATCACTCCAAATGTCCTTATATGTTAATTTGGCTGAGGGTGAAATCATTTAATCTATTATAATTCAAGCCTATGAGAAAATATAGTTTTATCATCTTTTGCTAATTTCCTTCCATAGTATAGTTTATAAAGATGTTAGTTAAAACATGCCTGTATATATTCATGTAAAATATAATTAAGAATTAGTCACATTTTGGGCAACGAGGAGAGGAATATTTTAGAAGTCAAAAGTTCAGGGACACCTGGGTGGCTCAGTGGTTGAGGGTCTGCCTTTGGCTCAGGACGTGATCCTTGAGTCCCGGGATTGATTCCCTCATTGGGCTCCCTGCATGGAGCCTGCTTCTCCTTCTGCCTATGTCTCTGCGTCTCTCTCTGTCTTTGTCTCTCATGAATAAATAAATCTTCAAAAAAAAAAAAAAAGAAATCAAAAATTCAGAAAAAATATTATTGGAGTTAAACATTAAAGGAGATAATTACTTAGAGATTTTGATTTTCACAACTTTTTTGGTCTTAAAACTTGTTTCCTGAGATGCCTTTTTCATTTACACAGTCTATCAAAATAGCATTAAGATTACCTCTTGCCCAGATATTTTAATATTCACCCATTATAATGAGTATAAATAAAGATGTTTCAGGGCAATGCTAAACTTAGTTAGGTTTCTAGACTGGCTAGATATATTTCAAACTTTTTTTAATCAAAGATGGATTGTTTGACAAATTTCTTAATATTTCTGTTTTCTCTAGGGGTTAATTTTTTTTTGTAATTTGGGAGAGAACATGTATTTCATTCTTAATTTGCAAATCTTATATGTCAAGAAATTAGAGCGCCACTTCTTACAGTTTTAGAAAGATGATCATAAAATTTTCTTGCCTTACTGAATTTCCTAGTTTCTCCCCTGACTGCTGAATGGTAGTCATACAGCATTATTAATGTGTTCTTAAATATGCATGTCATAATATGTTAAAAATAATTGTGTAAAGCAAATCTTTTTTCCTTGTAAAGACTGTTCCTTTCTGTTAGTAAGAACATTTTCATTATCATTCCTGTTTATCACACTAGTTGCAATTAGTGTAGAAAAATGCTTATCTCGTGTATCAATTTACCAGGAAAAAAGTGTACTTAAATTGCTGTTTTTCATAGCATATAATGTATGACTGTTTTGTGAATTATTAAAAAATTCATATATGTACAATTTTATTTTTTCATTATTGTCTTGGTCTTCCATATTTATTCTTTTATGTAATATGTACCATTTGTCAGTAAATCCACTGTGTATTTAAATGCCAAAAATGTATGTATATCCTTTGCCCTTTAATGTTCCTCACAGATCTTCATACAGTATCTCTCAAAAAATGTTAAATGACTTGAAACATATAAATACAAAACAATCCATTTAAGTGTAACAACAGAATAAATAAAACAAAACTAATAAAACAAATCAATAAACACCTCTCTGAAACTTTCGGCACTCCTTACCTCATCAAGCTTTTTGTGTATAGATACTTAGTTTAGTAGCATCTTTATTTATACGTAGTGACATCAATACCCATAATTTTACAGCCGAATGCTGTGCATGTATAAAATATAAAATCTATATTTTTTCAAATAGCTTTCTCTGCTTTCAATAATTATGTCTAATTTTTCCAATTACTGCTAGAGATTAGGATGAGGTGTTCGGCTTATTTAAGAGAAGTGTCTGGCTAGGGCAGAAATACACAGTCTGTACCACACCAGGGACGGGGGAGCTGTGTTGTCCTCAGCCCCAGGGTTGTCAGAGTGGGGCCTGGGGTGGCTGGAGTCCAGGGGCTATGGCCTGCAGCGGAGAGCAGCCTTGGGAATAGCCTCTAGCTGGGCTCCTCTGCAGCCAGCCTGAGCTGAGCGGAGTCTGATGGTGCGCCCTGCGGTCCCCGCAGGTGGCAAGCACAGTGAGCGACATCCAGGCCTCGCTGCTCCACTGCGACATGCTGAGCGCAGCCCAGGAGGCGCTCTCCCACCCAGACATCTCCTTCAGCAACCAGCAGCAGAGCGTGCCACTGCTCATCGCGGACAAGGGCCCCGTGGAGCTACCAGAGGAGTTCGTGGTCCAGGTGCCCAAGGAGCCCAGAGTGCAGCCCAAGGTGCGGCCAGCGGTGGGGACAGGGGGCTGGGGGGCGGCTGGGCAGGGACTCCTGGAAGGCTCAGCCCCAGGCAGTGCCCCAAATGTGTCTTCTCATTTATTTACTGTCAGCATCCACTCGATGTTGACATTTAGGGGTCTCCTCGCCAGTTGTTTAACACTGCATGCTTGTTCTGCATTAGAGCCTCATCGTCATGCCAAAATGTTTGACTTCACATTTCTGAATGGGTTGGAAGTATCTTTGCATCACCACAGGAAGTTCAAAATTACTTTTAGTGACCATTTCAACTACTGTAAAATGTGATGGTTGTAAATGACAAGTTTTAACATTTCTGATCATTGGTGTGTTTAGGGAAAAAAAAAGAACTTATCATCAATGGACACTGCCAAGATTTTGAGGAGAGTATGATGAAAACATCTTGGTTGGGAATTGTATATAGTCATTTAAAGCATAAAATCTGATAGAAAAGGGATTATAAAAGCAACCTGATTTTCTTATGAAAATGTTGGGAGTACTTTATAATATTGTCTTTGCAGCTGGCAAGTGCAGTGAATGACATCCATCTCTTGAAGCTCCAGTAAGATATATTATGTAATATTTGCACAAAATTCAATACTATTCTTTTCCCAATACTTTATATTTTAACTTTATGTAATACTTAGGTGATATAATTTTTCTTTTTTCACTAAAGAAAAGTGAGGCACTCCTATCTATCTATAAGGCACTCCTATCCCTCTTATTTCCTCCACGGAATATAATATAATAAATATAATATGATATGTAATATAAATTTTATTTATATATTACATAAATTTTATATATTACATATATATTCATATATGTAATATATATGTTAATCTATTCATTTATAATGTTTAAACAAATTTATAAGTTTATATGAATGCAATATGGATATATATTCCATACATAGTATATACTATACAGACTAGTATGTGTAGTATGTATGGAATAATTTCCTTCATAGGTATATGAAAAAGGCTGGGAAACGTTTGTCTGGTGGGGGGTCATAAATACCAAGTCTTTTCCTAAAACTGTCATCTCTTCTATCCCATAATTTTTTCAAGGGGATATTCATACAAGAAATACTGGCAAAGAAACATGAAATACCACTGAGCTTATGTTCTTAGCCCCATTACCATATTCTCTGGAAAATAAGTTGGGATACTTTGTTTTCAGGTCAGGGACCAAGGGAAATGTATCATAAATCCATCTGAGATTTAAAAGGCATGGGAGAGTTAAACCTAACTCTTCATTTACTGCTGCCACGTAGAAAGAGTAAGTGTGGAAGTGACTTGGCACTCACAGTGGCTCTGTTTACTCAATCACCTCATTTGATCAATAACTTAGAATCTTTCCATTCAGATTAACATTTCCCCCTTGGTCTTGATGCTTAGTGATGGGGGAGTGCATATGCTTCCACAGAAGTGTGCAAAATTGACTCTAGTGCATTCAGCAAATTCAAGGAAAATGTATAGTAAACATTTTTTAAGAACTTTTGTTTTCTGCTTTCTGTTTTGTGCTACCATTTCAAAACTGAAGTTGTCTCAATTTGATGCAGTCATATTTTTTCACAGAATGTGCTTCAGTAGTCGCAAAGTTTTCTTCATGATGCTGGCTTTTGATTTATAGTCACAAAGTTTTCCTCATGATGTTGGCTTTTTATTTATATTGTAAAATGATATTATTAAATTAATATTATTTAATTTGCTCCCGTGCATGGACATTCATCACAGGTTCTAGTATTACTGAAGAAGAAATCCAAAAACAAAGTTTAATTTTTGAGTCAATGTTATAAATGTTCAAACCAGAAACTAACATTAACATATATACACGCTCCTGCTGGCAATTCGCTTCTGAGGAGAAAAAACAGAAACAAAAACAGAATATTGGTTGGTTAAAACAGTTTTTCCTATAGAACTTTTCCTAAGAACTTGGCTGAATTTAAATGTTTCCCAACATTTACTGCTTAATCAGATTTTTCTATGGTACTAGCTTTTACTTTTTGCCATGTATATGGCAGGTGTCAGTGTAGTAATGGGTTTTAAATCCTGCTTTTCCCTCAACTTACAAATAGGAAAATTTCATTATATTTTGCTTTAGACAGAAAAGAAAGTATAGGTATAAGACATCCTTCATGTGACCTCATAAATGGAGATGGAGGTAAATGTCCTGTAATTTCAAAAAAGAGCCTGCAGAATCATGTTAATCTGTTATAATGAGACAATATATTTTGAAAGCTGCTTTTGTGCAAAAGTAATTTTATCAATGAGATAAAGAGCATCTGAAGGTCATCTTCTAGTACTCTCTAAAGAAAGAATAAAGAAAAAAAACAGTAAATATTACAGGGGCATAAACTTTACTGATATAGAAGATAATAAAAACAGCTAGAATGCTTGGACAGGTATTAAAAATGAAAGTGAAAAAGGAAATACCACATTACTTTGAGCTCTTCAAATTGAAGAGACAGGGAAGAGTGCAAACAAGAAGACATCAGTGAACTCTGGCTTCCACTCTTTTTCACCTCCTCTTTCTCCAAATAAAAACAACAGTCTGTTATAGAAGCAAGATACTCTATTCCATGATACAGAAAACTCAGAAATCAATGTCAATAGGGACGCCTGGGTGGCTCAGTGGTTTGGCACTTGCCTCTGGCCAGGGGTGTGATCCTGGAGTCCTGGGAGTCCCACATCAACCTCCCTGCAGGGAGCCTGCTTCTCTCTCTGCCTATGTCTCTCCCTTCTCTCTCATGAATATATAAATAAAATCTTAAAAAAAAGAAATCAATATCAATCATAGAGATTGATATTAATGCAATTTCTATTGAAAAATCAAATTGATACTCCTTTTAAAAATGTTAACCTCTGTATTTGTTCTATGGATAGTAAAACAAGAAAGTAGAAACCCAACAAAAACAACCCTAACAACATTCAAAAAAATCCTTTTATTGTTTTGAGATTAAACTTTGTCCTTTTTAAAATTTTATATTCATTTGACTCAGGATAGCTAATAACAGTCCTTTAAGAGCTAATGAGTGTTTGGATTCATAGGAATTAGGACTACACAGTCGAGCAGCAAAGCATAAAGAGTTTAAAAAACATTGTTCTCAGAAGACTTGTTTCTCTTTAGCATATTAAGGCAGAAGGAAGTCTGAGGGCAGATTGCCCAGTTAATGACTAGATACCAAGACTTTTCCTTCCAGCCAAAGGAATGTGAATGTGTTTTTTTATCAGGATTTTCCTTGCTTTAATTGTGATTTTCATGCAGATACATAAGTTCATTGAGATGGTCTGCAAATAACTGTCCTGCAAACCACACATACAGTGTTCAGGGTTCATAGGAGTGTTCTCTCCGAATACAGCTGAAGCATTTCAGTCCTGGCTAGTCATAAAAACTCTGTCTGTGCTCACTTTAAAGCTAACCTTTTGCTAAGAGCTAAAATGCTTCTACAAGAGCCTTTTGTATTCTATCAGTATTTTGGAGAGTCCCATCAAATTCTACCATCACTTTTTTTCCCCTCATATTCCCCACTCTTAGGTTTTTATGTTTATAAATGGGAATGCCTTTATGATAATAAGTAAGTAGAAAACTTTTGTTACTTTAAACAAAAGCCAGCCTTTAAAATTAACCTGAATTATTAAATACTGGATATTCCATCATTCATTCCTGCCCTTATTTATTTTTCCAATGACCTTGGATTGAGTATAAGTGCGTGCTGAGTACTGCACTCAGTGCTAGGAAGACACAGATAGGAAACTCACAAACTTTGATCTCTACGTGAGTATTGGGACATAGTAAGAGAGTACAGTGGGGCAAATGCTTGCTGGAGAATACTACTCCCCTGTAACTGAAGAGGCCAAGAACCTTGCTTGTAAAATGGTAATAAACACAAGATTTGGCCTGCACATATTCCAGCGGGAGTTCTAAATGTAGGAGCGGAAATTATGTGGAGAAGTGGTTAAAGATCTGATCAGGATGGCATGATAACAACATTATGCAGAGTTGAGAATTTTTCTGGCAGTAGTGAGGCAACAATTAAGTTAATCTTACAGGAATAAGCAAAGACTGACCTGTTGCCTGCATTTGAACAATGAACCAGAGGCTTCACGACTGGAGATAGGAAGGTTATTCTATTGATTCAAGTAAGAAATGATGGTGGCCCTGACTCAAGGACTGAGTGACATTAGTGATGATGAGGATCAAATGATAGGAGTTGGGGATTCATGGAATATGTGATTAGAGAGACACGCAGAAGATATTCAGGGTTTTGGCTTAAAAGATAGCGTGATGAATGAGTGCCTCTTAGATGTGAAAGACAAGATGAAGCAGAGAATGTTGGTAAGGAATGATAGTGTTTTTATCCAAACATGTACAAGTCACTCCTTTAACACATTCCTTTGAATAGATACCTAGCTTTTGCCCCAAATTTAAGAACTCATAACTTATAATATAATATACTCATAATATAATATACAAATCTGAAAAAGAAAGATAATTAAAAATGCTATTTGATGATCATAAGTTATTCTCATTAAAAAATATGTTTTTTTCCATTCTTTGTGAGACATTCTGTTTTGGCTTAGGTATGGTAAGATACTCTATAACAAAAGAGCATCTGCTAGGATTTGTATTCAGTCCTTCCTTCTACTTCCCAGTAATACCAAACAGGGCGATAGTAGAGCCAAGATCAGATCTGATTTTGAGTTCTCCTGTGTTCCCATGAAACAGTGACGGAATTCTTACTAGATATGTGCATTTGCAATACGTACTTCTCAGTACTGTGGCAAGGAAACAGGTTGAACTGTTGGGACACTTGATCTGCAGGCCTGGATGTATTTGACATTCATTCAGTTCTTAGTACAATGTTCCATGTCAACATTTGGAAGAAACAGGAGACTAATCTGCTCATTTGTGTACTCATTAACAGTGTAATATGACACACAGTTTAATAAAATACTAACATAATATAATCTCCATGTGTC